CGATTCATTGGAACAGGAAGCGATTGTATATACGAGTGATGAAGAATCTGAAATTGATGACAATGATGAAGGGGGTGATCTAGTAGTGTTTGGTAGCGAAGAGACGGAAGACGATTTGCTTGAAGAGGATGAAGACGTGAATGGAATTGCTCGTGGAAATGATTTCTTACGGGTTTGTTGAATTGTGAGATACACTTGAATTGTGAAATCACCAAAGACGTGTGATTTCTGAAGGGTAACTTGGGTAAAATTATTTGAATACGATTGTTTTCACTGAGAAATTCATTTGCTCGTAGTAGTTGATATTGTTTTTGATTTGTTGATCAATTTCAATTTGCAGACACTTCATACTGATTAATTGTAATGATTACAAAAATTTATCACAATTTGCTCAGAGAAAGTTTCAACTTGATGTTTGTTCATTTGGAAATATCGTTAAGTTGCAGAGGAACAGTTTTCTGGATGATGAAGCGCAAGAAGATAGCGATAGCGATGAAACGAGATCAGATGCAGAGAATAGTATGGAAGATGAGGATCTGAATGAAACCGATGGCGGTGACAGTGAGGAGATCTGTGAAAGTGAATTGCAATCGAGCAGCGACGAGGATCTGGAGCCAAATCTGGAGGATCTTATAGCGAGGGCGCCACAGAAACGAGTGAATCGGAAAAGAATTATTATCAGTGGTAGGTTTGAAATATTTCAGTGAACGCCATTTGGTAGCAATTCGAACAATGAGAATTTTAACGTTTGAAATTATGTGTTGGTCAATTTCGCGGATGACGAGATTTAAATGAATCTTGTGAGCGTTTTCGTTTCTTTCGGAGAATCTTTTCAGTGAATAGAGTCAGTTTTTCACTTGTGATGGATCACATTGGTTTATTATCATGTTGTGTGAGGGAAGCTGCATTAAAGCGAAAAAACGCATTCAAAATTTTTTGAAACGAAAATTTATTCGATGGATGGAAAATTTCAATTCCATTTCAGACAGCGAAGATGAATGAATAACCATGTGTGAATGCAGAACCTCACACTGACTCTTCTTACTAACCGTGCAATGCAGAACCTCTCATTGACTAATCTAATGAGGAGGACTAACTAATGTGCAATTTAATAACCGTCTCAATATTTGCCTATCTCATCACTGGACTGACTGACTTTGCACACTCAACATCCAGTGCTTTTGCTCGGAAAGTGCAATATGAACATTTTTTATTGTGTTGTTGATATTTCGCATAATGATATTGTGAAAAATAGTTTTAAGTTTATTTTGGGATGAAAGTTCCAACGAAATTTTC